TGTGTGTGTGTGTGTGTGAATGTGAGTAAAAGTAAGCCTGACAACATAAGATGCAAATAAAAGATAATTGAAGAGAGATGCTCACCGGTTTCGTTACATCTTCAAACCTTATCGTGTAGCCAACTTCTTCACCGAGCTTTACTCCCATCTCTTCGGCAACTCTGGAAGCAACAGCCTGTTAAACGCAAAAGAGATGAGAGAGTTACGTGAATGATGAATTGAAGAATAATTGACTTGTAATTAAAAAGAGTTGTGACCTGAACGGCAAGTCTTCTAGGTTGAGTGCAAGCAATGAGTCTGCCACCGGTGGCCCAACCTGCTTCTTTCAGGTACTGAAATGCAGTTCAAATTGTGAGTAGTGTGAATAAGAATTAGAATTAGAATTAGAATTTGAATTTGGAGGAAGGTGACCTGAGGAATTTGAGTGGTTTTTCCGCTGCCGGTTTCGCCAACGATGATGGTGGTGGCGTGAGTCTCGACAAGGTAGAGAATGGCGGTGCGGTACTTGAACACAGGCAATCGCTGGCGTTGCTTCTCGATGCTGGCGTAGCCATGTTTTGCGGAAGAGGAATGGTGAGAACCAAACAAGAAGAGAAGACCACCTTCTTCATCGTCGACTACGCGACCCTGTGGCCTCTCCGTCCCTGGTTTCCAGAACTGCGACATGTTCAATTGTTCACCACCCCAAAGCACGGCCAATCCCCCGATCCTTCAAAGTAAAAATCTACTCCTGGATCATTTTACATCAGAGGGCCCAAATACATTCGGCCCAAGCGCGGCCCGAATGATGATTGAATTGGCTAAAAGTATTCATCATTTTTCTGAAACAAATGTCTGAAAGACGTTCTATTATTTTTACAGTATATAACTTCAAACAAATTATTTGATGGTGAAGATTTCTGTGGTAAACTTTTTTTTACCAACAGAATGCCATAATTATATAGAAACTATACCAATTAATTCTTAATTTGAGTAGAACTATACTCAAATGTCTTGAGCAAATTTTTATATTTAAGTCATGTAAATAAAAAAAAATATAAGAAAGAGGGATCTTTATACCGCAAATATAAATCATTAACAAAATAATAAATATTTTATACTCGTAAGAAAAAAATTATAAAAAAACATATTGACTAAAAGTTTATAATTTTTATTTTTGAATTTTTAGAATATTATGTAGGGTTAGTGATGAGAGTAAACTTGGATTGTGATTTTTATGTTTATTAGGTTTAAGTTCCAAAATTCCTAACATCACACATTGTCATATTTTAAGAGATTTATTTAATTATATGACCTATTGACAAGTGCATAAGGTATTTGTAGTATAATCAAATGGAAGGTACATCTTCATAAGGATTTAACAAATATATTGGTAGTTTGTTTTTTAGGTTTTTATATTTGAAAAATGTTTATAATAGTATATATTATATAGATTGAGTGGAGTGGAGGTTATAAGTAGATTTCATCTCATCCTCTTCCAATGCACAACTATTCATCTTACTTATATACTTAGACAAATCATTCATTGTCTTGGAAGTGCTATTTAAATGTAACTCTATATCAACTTTTGACACCTAGAGCCTAAGATCATCAAACTTGAATATGATTCTTCAATAACTGCTTAAATGAATCACTTACATTAAGATCAAGACTCTAATCAATTAGAGCCTTACATATATTCCTTGTATATAAAACTTTGAGGATAATTAGTTAGACCACAACTTGGAGCCAATTTCCACTCAATCTCAAGTAAGTGAAATAAGATGAGTAATCAGTTCATTCAACAACAAGCACAAACTAATTCACAAACAAATATAATAAAAGTACAAATAAATATCCAAGTAGAAATACAAACAATTAGAATTGATTACATCTAACCTTGACAATAGATAGTTCATCTACTCATAGAATATTGCAATGCAACCCCAACAACATTTAGATACAAACTCATTCCTTCTCTACTACTACATATTTGATCCTCTATTCAATGCATAGAACGAGGACATGACATCTATATTTATAATCTATTTAGAGCAATGCTCAATTTTAGCTTTGGCACTTGAACCACAAAGATTTTATTTCAAATCTTTCCAAACTGTCTTTTTTAAGACTTAAGCTGTACGTTTTGGGTTCAACTGGTAAATGTCACATTTCATATACCAAAGTCTTCATCACTTAGCTTCATATTTAATACTTAAGGTTTTCTTTGCAATGAATTTGCTTGTACGATTCAAGTCTCAACTACTAATATAAGTTTATTCTAGAATTGGTTTAATTTTATCCATTTTATTTATTTTTTTTCACTTTGATTTTATGTTAATATAAAAAATTACAAAACAAACTAATTATATGAATTAAACGTAATATAAAAAAAATAAACGTCAAAATTATTTTGAAATTTACTTAGGACACTATAATAATACAAATTATACTTCAACTTAACCCGAAAATACAATGAAACTTTTTAAAAAGAAATAGAACACAGATATATTGTTTTTGTCTAGTCACGTTTAAATAAATAATAGTTTTGATTCTAATTTTAAAATGTATCACATGAGTTAACTTAAATTATATTTTAATTATATATTTTCTAAATATAAGTTTTATAAATACAAGACGAACAAATTTATTTGCAAAACATGTCTTATAATGAATTTTCATAAGCTTATACGAGATATATAAAAAAAAAATTATATAGCTTAACGAAAGCTTTTTATTTTCATGAGATGAGCTAAAAACAACTTAAATAAATGTTAGATTTATTTTCAGATGGAAAGTTAAAAATATCTTAATAAAGTGACAGTTAACAAGTACATATGTAAATGAATAATGTTCAGAAAAGTCCATTGTTTCAACATTGTCCTTTCCTTCACTAATATGGCTAAGCCTAGTTTGTCTAAAACTTGCCTGAGATGAATCTACTGTAGAGGCAAAGTGTCTTCGTGAAGCATATAAATTTAATTTTCTAATTTTCCCTTCCTCGTTACCATGGAAAGAAATCTACGCTCGATTCAGTTGAATTAGAACCGTCATCGTTATTAAATCTCATTTTTCGACTAGGGCCAATAATTTCTATCCATGCTTTTTAGAAGTAAATCGGTCCCTATTAGGACAAAGTGGAAAGAACATTTAAAGTCAATAATTAATTAGGGAGTTTTAAAACACACCTAACTTCAAAACTTTCGTAACTTACGTAACTTTCCAAGCAACTTCTCTCACCTCCTCTCGAAATGCTCCTTGCTCCCGTCAACAAAACATAATATTTTCTTGTCTTCTCTAGACTTAAATCTTTATCTCTTTTTTTTTCTTCAAATCCCTCTTTTTTTTTATTCTTATGTTGTTGTATATTTCTTCAGCATATTGATTACTTCTTTATTATATTTTTATCCCTAAGGAAAAATTATGATTTATAGACCGAATGTAAATCTTTCTATTTACAATTTGAATCTGATTTAATTCATCTAACTTTTGTAGGAGATTTATTACCAACGAAACATTAGTTGGTCATATTAGAAAATACACATTATTTTTAATATAACTGCAAAATTTAATGTTATCATGTCTTTCTTTTTACATGTTAGTCAACTTTTTTTTTCATTTAATGTTAAGACTTTTAATTTATATTTAAATTTTAACATGATCTGCTCCCATATTTGAGCTACTAATATCATTTTCCTACAAAAATAAATGTTGCAAAACTTTCACATAAAGAAACTCAAAACAAAATGATAAAAAGATAGAGAAAAACCGAGAGAGAGTTGTTTGAAAATAAGATATTTTCCATATTTAAAAAAAAAATTACAAGTATTATGTATGAGGCTGAAGAGTTCTACTCACGTAATTAACGTCTAACTTACTCCTAAAAGTTATAAAGTATAAAGGCATATACTTTGTATTTATAATGTGACCAAATTTTCAAAGCTAGATACTGTATTTGGTAAATTATAAAAGGTTTTACAAATTTTTGATAAATTGGCATGACTCCTAAAGTTTTTTAATTGAAGTCATCATGAATCTTAACAATTTTGTCCTAAAATTATAAAAAAGTGAAATCATCGTTATTTATAATAACTTATTTATAAATTCGTTGAGTGAAAATTATTAGAACTCATGACGATTATTAATTTGAATTAAAGTTTTTATAATTGGTAATAATTTTCTATTTATTAATTTGAATTAAAGTTTTTACAATTGGTAACAATTTTCTATTTATAATGAACTAAAGTTGCATGAGACCGTCAGTTATATTGAATTTTTTCTCAAACAACTGAAATTATCATACATGATGACTTTGGTTTTAATTAGAAATGGTCATAGGTGATTATCATGGATCATAACAATTTTACATTTTCAAAAATTTATGAAAAAGTCATTAGAACTTTTAATGAATTTCAAATTAAAAAAAAATCGTCGTAATTTATAACAACTTCAATTTATTAAACTTTTTTTCAAACAATTAAAATTGTTATAAATCATGACGACTTTGATTCAAATTGAAAATAGTCATCCATTCTAGCTATATTCCTTAAAAGAACATTTTTTTTCAAAATTTTATGAAAAAGTCCTAAAATTCATGACGAGTTAAATTGAAAAGTCATCGTAACTCTACGTACTTACTCTAAATATGTAAAAAAAAATAAAGAAAAAAAAGTCTAACTACCCAATTTATATAAAATACGTGGTAAAATACCCCCGTTTTTAAAATTTGCCTTTATAATAGGAGAATGCACTCATAACTCTTACTTCAAAGTATCTTGAATGACGAGGATGTTTGAAGATTCGTATTTCGTATTTATGAGCAAAGGGCTTGGTAGAAAATTTTCGACTTCCCAACCAATAGCATGCCTAGATGTAAACTTTTTCTGCCACCCAGTTTTAACTTGTGTTATAATTATCACAAAAGAGGTTTTACGAGGTTTTCATAGCCAGCCCCTACACTCTGTATTTCATTACATAAATATAACAACACTGAAGATACTTAATTTGTGTCAGTAGCCAACATGAATTTTCATACCCAAACTTCCAAAGCAGTATCAAATGTTTTGCTTCGGCATTTTCTAACAATTTTGCTTCTCTTCATTGGCGCTCAGGTTGCCTACAGTTTCCAAAATACAATTGTTGGCGTGCTCATTGATGTCAATTCAAAGACAGGAGAACAACAGAGAATGGCCATGCAAATTGCAGCTCAACGTTTCAACAATGATTCACAGAACCACTATATAAAACTTTTCTTCCGCGACTCTGGTGGAATTCCATTACAAGCAGCTTCATCTGGTGAGCACTATTTGATGATGAATTTTTCGGTGTTAAACTTCTTTTCACTTAATCACGTATAAGATATATTCCTTCTTCTGCTTTCCAGCTGAAGAACTAATCATTAAGAAAAAAGTTGAAGTCATTCTTGTCATGGGGACATGGCAAGAAGCAACTCTAGTTGCTGACCAGGGAAACAGTGCTCAAATTCCAATTATTTCATTTTCTTCTCCCCCAATGATCCCTCCTGATTCAATGCAACATCGTTGGCCCTTTCTGATTCAAATGGCAAAAGATCAGGCTGCACAAATAAACTGCATTGCAGATATTATCCATGAGTTCAATTGGCGGAAGGTTATAGCTATATACGAAGACAACCCTTACAGTGGTGATTCTGGAATGTTAAGCCTCTTCTCTGAGGCTCTCCAAAAGGGTGACTCACAGATAGAGAACCGGTTAGTTCTTCCATCGTTCACTTCTTTATCTGATCCGAAAGGGTTTGTTCTGAACGAATTGCTTGAGCTTTTGCCACTGCAATCTCGTGTTTTTGTTGTACTTCAAGCAACATTCCCAATGATAACCCATTTGTTCAGAGAAGCTAAGAAAATTGGATTGTTGGGGAAAGATTCAGCTTGGATAATGAACGAGGGAATCACAAGTATGTTAGACTTTGCAAACAAATCTGTTTTGTCCTCTATGGAAGGTGCTTTAGGAATCAAAGCCTATTATTCTACAAGTTCTCTTTCTTATAAGCAATTGCAGGATGATTTCCAACCTGAGCATGCAAAACCAGGATCAGATGCATTACAAGCTTATGATAGCGTTACATTAATCACAAAGGCCTTGGAGAGAATGAATGGGAAATCTAGTAATTCAATGGTGTTCTTGGAAAAATTGTTATCTAGCGATTTCAATGGTTTAAGTGGTAATATAAGATTCAAAGATGGTCATCTATTCAACACTCCGGTGTTGAGAGTGATAAACGTGGTTAACAAGGAATACAAGGAATTAGATTTTTGGACCCCGAAATTGAAGTTCGGTAAATCTCTTAAAATACTGAAAGACAGAGAAACAAAAGGTGATTATGCTACAAATATCTCACTTGGTCCAGTGGTTTGGCCAGGAGGCCTAACTTCTACTGCTCCTAAGGGATGGAAACTGCCGACTTACGCAGAACCTTTAAAAGTGGCAATTCCTATAAACCCTGCTTTCGAAAATTTCCTGAAGGAAGACCCTCCAAAGAAATATGATGGTTTCTGTATTCGTCTTTTCCTCGAGACAATAAAAATTCTGAGTTACAAGTATGGTGACATTCCCTATGTATTTGAGTCCTTCAATGAATCCTATGATAAACTTCTACTGAATGTAATAAACAAGGTAATGCCTATTGTTCAAATTTCTCAACACAAAATGCTTTCTAGTATTCTTTGAAGTTTAAATTGTGTCCTCCTTTTAGACTTTCGTGATTATTTGTTTCATGACCAATTGATTAACACAGAACCCTCATAGAAAATTGAATAACTGCAGTCCCACCATGCTATTGTCGGAGATTTAACAATACTCGCCAACCGATCAAAGGATGTGTCGTTCACTCAACCATACACTGATTCGAGCTTATCAGTTATATTTCCAATAGAGACTGAAGGATCGATGTGGTTGTTTATGCAACCCTTTAGCTGGGAAATGTGGCTTGCTACTATTTGCATTCTCATCTACACAACGTTCACCGTATGGTTCCTGGAGCATGAGTTCAATCCAGATTTTGGTGGTCCATTGGAAAATCAGATCAGCACCACACTGTGGTTTGCCTTTTCTTCTCTATTTTTTGCTCACAGTAAGTATAAATATGCAAATAATGAAAACTCTATCACATTCTTTTTCGTTATATGATTAGTGATTTCTAGATTTTTTCTTCAATGTGCCTCAGGGGAGAGAATAAGAAGCAACTCTGCACGAGTAGCAGTTGCTGCATGGCTTTTTCTTGTGTTTGTTATAAACTCAAGCTACACTGCCAACTTTTCCTCAATGCTAACTGTCAAACGATGGTCACGAAGAGATATTGAGTGGCTAAAGCAAAACAATTTCTCAGTTGGCTGTGAAAACCGCAGTTCCTTTGTAAAGAACTACATGATAGATGTGTATAAGTTCCATCCAAATCAAATAATAAACGTTCATGGAGAACATGACATTGTAGATAAATTCAAAAGCAAAAAAATGCATGCTCTCTTTTTTGAAAGCCCGTATGAGAGGGTTTTCTTGAACAAGTACCCCAGGGATTACACTGCAATTACAGCTGCCTATAAATTTGGAGGACTTGGCTTTGTAAGTGCTTACAACTCCGTCTCCAACCTTAGTCATGCATTTTTCACCCTCAAGTTCTGTTCCATACTATGATATCATGTTGGAATCCAAGTGTGAGTTTAAGTCCCACATTGGAGAGAAATGAGAAAGTAGAGTGGTTTATAAGTGGGAAGACACATTAACTCATTGCCTTAAGGTTTTGGGTGAAGAGTGGTGTCAACTACTTATAAGGTTGGACTCACATCTCATTACTCATTGACTTCCCGGTTTGACGAGGGTAATGACCCCTATATCGAAAGTCTGTGTGACCCGTTAAGATGAACGGCGATATAGAGGGCTAACTCGTGGTTAAAGACCCTTGAGGGGGAGATTTGTGACCCGTTAAGATGAACGGCGATATAGAGGGCTAACTCGTGGTTAAAGACCCTTGAGGGGGAGATTGTTGGAATCCAAGTGTGAGTTTAAGTCCCACATTGGAGAGAAATGAGAAAGTAGAGTGGTTTATGGGAAGACAAGACTCACATCTCATTACTCATTCTAACATATCAAACTTGTTAGACATTGAACTGAAAATTGGTTTTGCTAATATATGCAGGTATTTCAAAAAGGATCTCCCATGGCTAAAGAGTTCTCTGAAGCCATTTTAGAACTAGCAGAAAATGGAAAACTAAAATCTTTGGAAGAGCAATGGTTGACTCCTCCGCAATGCTCAAACTCAAACCGTTCTCCAGAAACTGAGGGCCTGACCCTCCCCAACTTCTGGATTCTCTATGTCATGTGTGCTTTCATATGCACCATCTGCTTGGTGCTGTCTGTCAGCAGCCAAACATAAGTTGCAGATTACTAGAATGATGTGACACGGTTGAGAAATAACCTTATTTCATAAACACGTGAACATAATTCAATCTTCATGTCTAGCATCTAATGTTTAGTTATGGACTTAAGGTAGTGGCGGTGTTTTTTCCATAAACATTGTCTTACATGTCTTCTGAGGTTTAATTTCAAAGAATTTCACGAAATAACTGACTAGCAAGAGATTTTTTTCTTCATTGCTCCAAGAGTGGACGTTGAGAAAGCAACATAGTTTTTTGTGTTTAAGAAAAGTTTCATTCTATTGGACAACTATTTTATTGCTTTACAATAAAAGTAGATAAAGAAAATAACAATCCACGTAATAGATACATGAGGTAAGAATTGTTTTCTAAATTCTGTATATTTTCTTTAACCACGCTCCCATTACAATGTAATGACATAGATGACTTTTAAAATTTTGAAATATACAACTTAAAATATATTAAAATGTTTTTGAATTACATATTCTGAAAGAGGGAAAACGTATATTTCGGAATGAAAATTCCAAAATATGTAATTTGAAACTGTTTTTTAACATTAATTATTCTGCATTATTCTATCATTAATATTTCATTATAAAATGATATTTCTAAAATAATTCAAAATGTTGATATATGTGAAACGTGAAATTGAAAATCTTCGAACATGTTTTCCGGAAGCTTATTTTCCAAAAGCATGTCTTGACTGTTATGGTTTAGTTCAGTGTAAATGGTCACGGAAGTTGATATTAGTGAGAATAACAACAATAATCTTTCAAGATTTTCTCTTATCAAATTCTGCTTCAGTTAAGGCTTGATAAAATACCTACATGCAATTTATTTTTCTAATAGGTTACAAAATTAGTTTTAAATATAGAAGTATTAAAATGACAAATAATAATGGTACAAAAGAATATCATAAATGCTTTCAGAAGCCTGTACCCAACTTTTCTGTAATCTCTAGTGGTGGAAACAATGTTTCCTTCTGTTTTAAATTATTGTAAAAATGTTAGTTTAGTAACAAAAAAATGCATTAGAGTTTTTCAGAATAATGAATTTAAAATAATTATAAGATACAAGATTGACTGGATTTTAATTTATTTTGTATGCTTTAGAATGTGTATAAACAATAGTAGAAAAACATATAGTTTTTATTCTGTAAGTACTATAACAAAGTCCATTGCGAAAGTCCACGGAAAACATAAGGTGATATTGCAGCAGAATCATTGCCACACATCATGTTTTAATATTTCAATTTCAGTTATATATTTTGTAATATTTTATATTACCTGACTTTTCATATTTGTAGTAGTTACGTTGGCCAACATAATTAAATTCCCATTTCCCTGCATCCAAGGGAGTCCAAATCTTATAATGTCATACTCTAAATGTCAAATGCTAAATGTTAAATGGTAAATGCTGTATGGGCGAAGACCGACTTCTGATTTGCTTGGTATGTCTGTTTTGTGGTGGAGGTAAAGCTGATTTTAAGTTTGGGGTGAACTGCTCTTGTTGTCCACATGTTCTAGGTCCCATCCGACTTACTCCTTCCAAGAAATGTCTTTTGGCAAATGTTACATCTCATGTTTCTCCGAAAATCAGAACAATTATCCCAACGTATTCTACGTTTCTACAAGTCTACTCTTGCAAACTAGTGGATATGAATGTTCTGTCGGTATCTGTTTGGAGTGTATTGGACGCCTTCGATCATTCAAAATAAAAAATTCCTGCGTGCTCCGTCCAATCCTCAACATGGAAACTTTAAAACCACACTTTTAGAGTATTTTTTTAAGTCCCACGTTGACTAGAGAATTAGGCATAAAGTCCACTTCTTAATATAGTATTAGAATCATTATCCTAGCGATATTTCTTGTTTATTGGGCATTTCTATTCCACCCGTCGGGCCACTATCGAACCATCCATTTCTACTGTCACGCTCGAGATGTCTATACCTCGACGTGAAGGAATGGGTTGGAAGTCACACATCGACTAAAAATAAGACTAAATTATAATATATAAGTTGGGTGCAAACCTTTTATTACAAATTGATTTTGTTAGGTTGAGTTAGGCTTAAAGCCCACTTCTTAATACTTTTATTAAAAAAATTTAGATAATGGATTTATGATTTTTATATGTTATTCATCTTAGCTATTATTACTCAATGTAGGGAGTTCAAACTTAAATTCTTGACTATATAAATTTCTAAATAACACTTTTTTTAGATTTAGGATGTAAACATGAATACATTAAAAAAAATTATAAAATAATTTATATAAATAAAGAATATTAATATATAAAAAGGAAAGTGATGTCATCTTAGTAATTCATAATTACCATTATCACAATTTACAAACGGTGTCTTACAATCATAACAAAGAAGTATAAAATTTGTTAAATCATGATTCCAACTACATAATTGCTATGGTAGAAATCCTTAAAACAAGCATAGACTCTACATAACTTTGAAGCATGATCAAATTTCTGTGTAATACTGATAGTATCATTCTTTTCTCTTTTATTATTATCATCTAGAAAAAACATGATTTCTGTAACTATAATTCATCAAAAGACAACTCTAGCAATTCAAGAAGTCAAACACCATTAGCATGTGTTTCACTAATGTTCATTACCCTTGTTATCTGACATGTTAGGACGAAAGAGTGTTGGGCATGATTGAACAGTGGATTCACATTTGGAATGAAAGTAGTTTAACTCAAACTAATCATATATTTCGATCTGCAACTTCTGCTTGCTGCTATATGGTATTGATACAAACTTTCCTTTATTTTGTTTTCTACCAGGTTTGTCCAAATACAAGACTAATCCTATCTACAAGCTAGTCCTCCTCACCAATTCTTCCACGCAAGTTGGAACTACACGAATATCCCTTCCTTATTTTGGTGACAAGATTCTTATATTTGTCTTTATGTATGGAGTCAACATCCCTGTAACTGTCAAAGATTTTCCAGGTCCCCACCAGAATTCTTAGCATTCAAGTACTAATAATTTCGCTGCTTACTGCCTTCTTTTCCTCGAATTTTCACTTATATATGATATGTAATAAGACCGAGGCAGCCTACACCCCAAATTTTCAGCTAAAGGTTAATATATCATGTGAGCAAAACATATAGAAGCAAAATGCATTTCCTTTCAACTAATCCTCAAGGAATAATAATGAATTTTCTCTTCTTTTATGTACTCATCTCCCTTGTTCTTATTAATGGCTACCAAGATGAAGCTACAACAATAGACAACCAAGTTATATCTGTTGGGGCAATCATTGATGTGAATTCTCGCATTGGGAAAGAACAGCAAATGGCCATGGACATTGCAGCTCGAAGTTACAATAGCACTTCAAAGACCTACAAGTTGGCTCTCTATTTCCGGAACTCCACCGACAATCCTCTTAAAGCCATCACTCTTGGTTAGTATATCTACCGTTGGCCAAGTAAAAATTTCAACTTTATATGCCTTCGGGTAAACTTTTTCAAAGGGAAAAATCTATTTTAGATTCTTCAAGGTTCAATCAAAATTTGTTTTAGTCTTTCTATTTTAAATTGGTGATTTAGTCTCTATTTATAAAAGGTGGTGGATTTTTTTTTCTGATCTTGTGTACTTCATTTTGACTTAACCAAGGACGAACCCATCTTGTTTTGGAAATGTGAGAACCAAAATGATTATTATTAGAATGCAGGAACAAAAATTAGCTTTGACGAGAGTTAAAAACACAGGTTGCCTTTCCTTAAATATGTACACTGAAGAATTTGAGACCCTTTCTTGCAGCTGAAGAGATGATTGATAAGCAAAAGGTGGAAGTGATTATCGGGATGCACAGATGGTCAGAAGCAGCTCTAGTGGCTGAAATAGGAAGCCAAACTCAAGTTCCTATTATAGCATTTGCAGAACCCACCGTTACCCCGCCGTTGATGAGTAATAGGTGGCCTTTTTTGGTGAGAATGACTAGGAGTGATTTATCATATATCAAATGCATTGTAGATATAGTGACAGCTTTTGGTTGGCAGAGAGTAGTAGCTATCTATGAAGATGATGCATATGGAGGTGACTATGGCATGCTAGCACTGCTATCTGAGGCCCTCCGGGATGTGAGTTCATCGATTGATTATCACTTAGTTCTTCCACCTATTTCTTCTCTGCATGAACCAGGAGGGTTTATACGTGAAAAACTGTTGAAGTTGTTGCAAACCCAATCTCGCGTTTTCATTGTGCTGAGATCTTCATTAGAAATGGCTATCCATTTGTTTAAAGAAGCCTCAAAAATGGGATTCGTGGACACAGAATCAGCATGGATACTTCCAGAGAGCATAACAAATGTGCTGGACTCTGTCAACAAGTCTGCTATTTCCTATATGGATGGAGCTTTAGGAATCAAAACGTACTACTCCGAAATGAGCCCCGAGTACCGAGATTTTGAGGCTGAATTCTGGAGAACATTTTGGTCCAAGAATGTCGAGGAAGATAACCGCTACCCCGGATTTTATGCATTGCAAGCTTATGATGGCATTAAAATTGTGACCCAAGCAGTAGACAGAATGACCAATAGAAACACTAGGAGCCCAAAGAATTTACTTGGAGAAATACTGCGTAGCAGTTTTCTCGGTTTAAGCGGTCGTATTCAATTCGAAGACGGGAAACTCCAGCAGACTTCTATTTTAAGGATGGTAAATGTGGCCGGGAAGAGTTACAAGGAACTATGCTTTTGGAGTGAACAATATGGGTTCACCAAAGACCTCCCTACAGGAAAAGGTGGACATTCTGGCGCTGGTAATACAGAATGTTTCAGTGCTGTTCGGTGGCCTGGGAATCTGAAAAGGGATCCAAAAGGCTGGAATATGCCTACTAAACAAAATCCTATGAAAATTGCAGTCCGAAGCAGAACCTCTTTTTCCAAGTTTGTCAAGGTTGATTATGAACATGAGGGCGCTCCTGCAACATATAGTGGATTTTGTATCGATATTTTTCAGGGTGTGCTCGACCTTTTGGG